TCTTTGTCTCGTTTTGAAAATGGTGATAACAATCACTGATAGGCATGACATGGATACTTTGATACTTGAAGCTATTCTCAAAGAAGGCAAATATTGAGTTTCAGAAAATAAAGCAGACTACGCTGTTATCCAAGGTGATGGCAATTTTGTTGTTTATGTTTCAAACCAATTTCGTCCAAAAAATGAGCTCTGGTGTTCGAACACTAGCTTCAAACCACACTTCGTTGGTCCATATCAATTAGCCATGCAGAATGATAGGAATCTTGTTTTATATGATTGCAGATCTTATTCTGTATGGAATTCTAATACTGAACGTTCTCTTCGAATCCTTCAGTGACGATTATGTTCTACTATAAAGTACCATTTCAATGAAACAATAAAATATTTCATGAATTTTCTATCTAAAACACATTGAAGAGATTAAAGAGATAAATGTTCAACGTTCTCATTTTTTCTAAAGAAAAAAAACGTAAAATACTAGTGCATGTCTATCTCTAGGAGGTCTTGATATGAGCTCGATCATCAACAACGAAATAGTTTCGAAGCAGAATACAGAGTGCTTCATTTTCTCTTGTTGGTCAACCGGACATCTTTAGAATCGAGCACTGCAAGAATTCAAACAAATACAGGAATTTAGAGAATTATTACGTGTTCGTATTACTATAGACGCAACAAAGAAACATGCAAAATTAGTAGAAAGTTGATATGAAGAATTAATAAAAATAAACGGAGATAACCAAGCGAAAATTTCATAAGATTTCAAAAGAAAGAATGAATCAACACCTGACTTTTATTCTTTCTATTCGTTTTACTAGTGTACTGTGCATTTTTTGCATGAAGTGGCAAATATCAAATTGGTACAAATTTTGAAGTCTACTTGTCAAAATTATTTAAAATTTCAATTCTTGAAAATTTTGAAAATGTTCATAAATTTACAAATTTTAAAATTCTTACAATTTTATGTGTCCATAAATAAAACTATACAAACTTTTAGACACTTCCACTTGAACTAAAATGAGGAATGAAAATCAAAATTTGACTTACGAATCATATACTTTTAGCAGAAATCAGACGTTTATTCATACTATACATTTTTAAAATGTTGTCAGAAATGAGAAATTTATTGACACTGCATTTCTAAAATGTACCAGAAAAGCAGAAATCAGAACTTTACTTACATTAGGTATTTTTGGATTTCAGAAATATATAATAGGAGAAAATTTCTGATATCTGTTATATTTTAGAAATGTATAGTGTGAGTAAATTTCTGATTTCTGCTTTTCTGATACTCATTAAAATTGATGGATAAGAGTGAATATCTCAGGGTGGGCGTGGGTGTAAGCTTTGCCTTCATCTCACCCACACTCACACCCACACCCCACACCCACACCCCACACCCCACACCCACACCCATCCTAGGGATTGATTGCAGTTGCGTTGTCGTCTTATGATGATGATGAATGGAGCAACGCCGTCTGATGAGACAATTAAGCAAGTTCGAAACTGGGTGTGGGTGTTGGCATGGATGAGTAGATCTTCTCTTTATTCACACCCCACACCCACACCCCAAGGAAATCATCCATTTTCATTTAAATCCAACAGTTTTTTTTAATCAAATTTGTGTTTGAAGTCTAGATTGCATGTATGTATAGACATAAAATTATTAATTGTTCATTCGTTTAAGATAATGAATATGATTCAACATTATTCAAAACAACATTTATTGATGCATCACCAGCTAAATCGCTCCTTAAGCCACCAGTAACTAACACGTTTCCATTTAAGACTGATAATTCATGGCGATATCGTGCATTATTCATACTACCAGCAGTTGTCCAAGTTCCTGTTGATGGTTTATAAAGTTCAGCACTATTCAAATAACAACTACCAGCAAATCCACCAGTAACTATCACTATTCCATTTGTTAATACGGATGCTTTGTGAAAAGCTCGTGCATTAATCATACTACCAGTCGCTTTCCAAGTTTTTGTTGATGGATCATACAACTCAGCACTATTTACAGAAAAGGTACCATTGTGTCCACCATTAACTAACACTTGTCCATTTAATAATACAGATGCTGTATGTGAATATCGAGTATTATTCATACTACCAACCGTTGTCCAAGTTCCTGTTGATGGATCATACAACTCAGCACTATTTAGAGAAGCACTATTATTGTTTCCACCAGTAACTAAAACTGTTCCATTTTGCAATACGGATGCTGTGTGCCAAAATCGTGGATGATTCATACTATTGATCGCTGTCCACGCTCCTGTTGATGGATCATACAACTCACAACTATTTAGAGGACCATAATAATATCCACCAGTGATTAACACTGTTCCGGTTTTTAGTACTGATGCTGTATGATCCATTCGTGCATTAATCATATTACTAGTCATTGTCCAAGTTCCTGATGATGGATCATACAGCTCGGCACTATTTAGAGCTTTGCCATTATATCCACCAGTAACTAATATTTTTCCATTTGTTAATAAGGATGCTGTATGTGATTGTCGTGTATTATTCATACTACCAGTCGTTGTCCAACTTCTTGTTGATGGATCATATAACTCAGCACTATTTACAATATAATTGCCATCATATCCACCAGTAACTAACACTTTTCCATTTAGTAATATAGATTGTGTGTGAATAGTTCGTGCACTATTCATACTACCAGTGTTAAGCCATCCTAAAAAAACCATTCGAATTTATTCAAATCGACAGAAAAACAGCAGAGACTTCGTTCGTATAGTTATATGATTTCCTGAGATCTCATGAAATCTATTAAATAGTGTTTCTGCTGATAACTGTACCGGACAAAAGCAAAATGTAAGATACAACAAATTTAGAATTCGAGCGCCACACAATTTCTGGAGGGTGTGGATGTGAGGATGAGTAAACAAGTTGATGATCTCTTCATCTACATTTGCAACTTCACCTACGTGTACCCACGATATGAATATCTTTCACCCCATCTTAGTCCTCTAATACCACATCCCTAATGGAGAGAGAATCCAAATAGAATACATGTGAGAAAGAAAAGGAACGAAAAGGAAAAAAAATTGAATTCACAGTATATCAAGGATGTCCCATAACAACTGAGGATAATTTGTTATTGATAGTTTCCATACTTTTACTAGACCTTTAGAGCTAAAATTTTTATTATATATATATATGTATCTAATCAAGATCTTTTATTTCTCCAAGTTTCGACTCTGTAGTTAGAATAAGGAGAGAACATTCTTTGGCAAGACTGAAATACATAAATTTTCGTATTCGATTTTCCAATATTTTCAGTACGTATGAACATGCCGTTCATTATTTTCGCGTAATTTTCTATCAAAAATTTTCTCCATGCTTTTCTAATTTCTTGTTCTAATTCGCGAATGATGTGGTAAACACTTTCGCACGAATTTTTCTTTCCGTGCTTCCCATACACTTTCTATTTTCCATGCATTAGCACATATAGAAAGCAATTGGTCTGTTAAGTACATTCTTTGTCGTGTCTTATCAGATAAAGTACGTTGTTGTTTTAGCTATTTAGTAACATTATTTGGTACATTTGATAGAAGAAGACATCGTGATGATATTGCACCCGAAAATATTACACTCTTTGAAAATTTATCTGTGTGTGCGTTGAATTCGCTTCAATTTATTCGCCTTCGTTGACTCATACACCATATTTTCTTTTGTTTTAAAAACCTTGAAGACGAAATAACTCTGAGAAATCAAAATTCACAACATAATTTCATATTATTTTTTAGAATTTTTCCTAACACCAAATTTTGTTCTTCAGTTTTCTGCACATTTAATACGTTTCGATGCATTGAACTTTCAAACGATGTAAATTGTTCTCTGTTTAGAATAATATCAGTTTTTCTAATAAACATCTTTTTGCAAATTAATATAGTAATTAAGATTTTGTTGAAAGTTAGGTGCTGTAATTGTTGCGAAACGACCAGATCTTTTTAATATTCGTGACACTCAGACGTGTAATTAATTATATTTTAATGATGGTGAATTATCGTAACTTTGAATGAAGAGAACCATACGACCAACGCTCCATGTGGTATTCAAACGTTTTAAATTCAATACAAAATTTCTAAATTTTTTTCTAATGTGGTGACTGATGGACATTTAAGATAAAATTTGTTATTAAATGCAAGCGATTCTACATTGAAATGTACCTCTATATGTATCAATAAACAAAATTTAGTCGCTTGCATGCAGATACCAATATCGCTCGCTAATTCTCTCTCTTATATAAATTTGTTTGTATATGCGTATGTATGAATTAGTCATACAAGAATATTGCCTTGTATATTGAAAATAGTAAAAAATAGAATACGAAAAATTTATGAATTTCAGTCTTGTCAAGGTATTTTATCACTAGTTATAGATATCAATAATAAATTATCATCAGTTATTATGGGACATCCTTTATATGTTTAATTCAACTGAGCTTATGATGTCTATAGATAGAGAACTGCTAAATCAACTACACACGGACAATAGTACAAATAGAGCAGTTTTTCTTATTGTTTTTAGATAAAATTAGTGCGCAAACTTTTCGAATACACTATGTACATTTGAAAAAGATCTGGTAAAGAAAGAAGGAGGTGCAATAGTGAAATATTCGTTGTGCTATGGTGATTTCAATGTCTTTGAATGCATGTAAAATAAAGGAGTCAATATCTTGCAAAATAAATTGTCTCGCCTTTGAGTTGAAAAGAATATCGACAATCATACCTGCAGTATTCGTAACGTTAGCGGTGGGTCTTGATCCTAAAACAGAGCCAAGAATGATTGCACCGATAAACAGAATAATCAATAAGCAAATCAGAACGACAAATCTCTTCTTGTGATACCAGCGAAGTCTTGTAAAAAATAGAATGAAAACTTCTAATAAAAGTACAATTAGGAAAGAATGTAGTTAGACTTACTCAATTTTTGGATAAAGACGTGCACCTAGATATAGAAGTACTATTATTTCAAAGTAAATGCTTGGAAAACTTTGAAATACCTTCGAATGGAGGTTCAAGAAGCATTTCTTTTGGTTTGATCTGTTTCAAATGAATGATATGAAGATCAGGCGCTGGACTTAATTGTGATTGAACTATCATTTGGGTACCCGGTAGCAGAAGAATTTCATCTTCCGAAACGAATTGTGAATGGGAATATATTGCCCGACCATTAATAGCTTCCACAGAGAACAACGTTCTCTTACCCGTATCGCCCAAGTACATATTGTTTTCAAGCACGGCCAATGAAGTTGTACAAGATGAAAATGCCCACCAAATTACTGATGTGCCAAGTGGAAATTGTGCACTTAAATCCATGGTCACTCCTCGCCAAATGGTTGATGATGGAGCGCATGGTAATTTGGTCAGTGCAGTTAAAAATAGTTTTAGATATTTGAAATAAGGACGAAGATTCTCACGAGTGTCCTTTTTGAGGGTACAATTGAGCATTGAATAAAGACTTTGTTGATTTTCTGTCCATTCAATTGTGTAGAGGCGAATTGCAGCGCTTTCATCAATTGTCAATCCATCGGGTGGTTGCTCGGAAGTTTCATTCAAAGCTAGTTCAACGTAGTACGACAAATTGGGAATAATACTGGTTAGCGGAGCACATGCTTTGACAAGTGGCAGTAATGGCTCTTCAGCGTACCCAACAATAGGACCAAGGTTTGCTGCAATATCATTGATGATGTTCGAAATTGTCAACGTTGATCCTTCAGTGACAGCTTCGACCAGTCGACGATTTTTTATTATAGTGTTATTTGGTGTATTATTAGAATCCTCCACAACCATCATCTGTTGATTTTGATCGAGTATTTCTTCTCTATTTTTGTTTAGACATGACGCAACAAACGTTGTTGGTGAGTTAATCTGGATATTGATACCGTGATTCATTATATCTTGTAGATCATGCGTTTTTCCAATACTGAGCGTGACTGTTGTGTCGTCAGTCTGAATGCCAACATGCTTGGTCACCAAAGGTCGTCGATCATTCGTTATTTCGCCATCAAGTTCGATTTCTGATAGCTCAAACTGAAGATGCTCATTGTTCATCGCTACTTTTTTCTTTTTATTATAACTTTGCATCATCTGGTCCTTTATGATGCGTATTGGTGCTTGAAAAATGAAAACCAATAAATTTTCATGGTAATAGAGTCAAGTGGCGATTAGTAAAAAGCAAGAATTGTTGATGAATTTTCAATACAGAAATAGCAGATTGCAACTGTAAGGAGAATAGAAGCGAACACGGATGCTCAATTCGTAATAGATTTTTCCAAGTGCATGTCTCAAGCAGAAAATATTTTGAAAGAAGCAGTTAAGTTCAATGAATTTCATAGGACAGCTGATAGCAGCATTAAAAATAAACTATTGAAAATTAGGATTCTAGATTTATTTGACACTATGAATCAATAGCTTATTTTCAATGATGAGTAGTATATCAGTGAAATTTATCATACTGGAGTGACTGCATCAAACATTGAATCTAACTTTCGAATGCATTAGTAAAAATTTCTTGTCATAGAGATAGCAGTACTCAAGTCAGTACAAATTCCAAATACTGCAGTGATACAAAACAGAACCTATAAATTAGCATGCAGCACCTGTCTAACACATTCGACACGATGAGATCTATCGGTGGATCTCACTATACATTAACAAGAAGCTTAATAGAAAATAATTTTTTCGCTTTTTCTTAGGCGGCAGATTACTAATAATGTGTACTCTGCTTTGTCTTCGCGAATTTTTGAATCATTTACTGCATAGCGTGATGTTTCTAGATAAAATAATCAAGACAATAACATTTACCAGAATCAGAAAAGAAGGTTTTTATTTTCTTTGCTATTGCCAGGTTCACTTCCCTTGACTGTTGTTACCTGATTTTCTCATAGCCATTAGCGCAACGTCTTCAGACATCGCGAAAAGATCCCTCTTTTTCGTCGTGCTTGTGATCAGCGAGTTTGCGCCTCGTTTTCGCGAAACTAGAGCATGGCCGCTTCGCTGGTGGCATAATTTTCCTTGTAAATCAAATAGCTATTTACTATTGCTGTCCCAAAACTCGATTCATACCTTGTCTTCCTTGGCTATAGTCTACTACAACTTGTGGTCTCGTAATACGTTCATTTTGGATATTAGTTTTTTCAGTGTCTACCACAGAAGATATGTGATATGGCCTAGTAGAGATCGTTAAAACATCTTTTTATATCTGCCCAAATGCTCAATTTTGATGCTATCTTTATTCTGAAGTCCGTAAACTTCACCGCAGCGCAGCTTCTTTCTGAAAAACTTCCTTGCTAGATCCCACATGACTACTTCTCAATAACTCAATAAGATACACATCATGTTCAATAAATTCATTACGACTGTTTGAGCATGTCCAAAAACCTTTCATAGGATCTTAATCAACAGTATAAATTACAAAATTTTGAAGTACATCCATTAGTAGCCGCTAGCTTCTCTACTTTGACACCACATTCAGGGTGTGGAGCCAAGAAAAAGCAGGTCCACCCACACCGTCATCATCCGTAACTTCTTCGGCAGAACTTCCAGATTCAAGGTACATTCTATCACAATCAGTACCCAAATAGCTCACTTCATTGGATGAGCTGACATTATCTTTTGTATTGGTTTCTTCAAACGATATGTGAATTAGTCCGAAATTTCAATCACTTTTACACATAAAAAGTCAGAAATGAGAACAAGGAAGAAAAAGCTAGAACGTTTGTTCTGTTATTCTGCTTGTACTACCTATGATGTGTAAAAGAACGAGAAAGAAATTTGAGGAATTTTCCAATTAATCGAAAAAATGACTCGTTGTGTAATGATACAAAGAAGAGAACGACGAATAATCGGTAGAAGACGATGAAAGGTCACTAAGCGTATTTATTAGAAGATATCTATCTATAGAAAGGAATTTCTCTGAGAATTTTTCAAAGAAAACTAAATCGTATCGAATGTGCTACGATGGAATTATGATAATTTACAAAGTCTAACAGATAACGCAAAAATAGATGATAAAAGTTCGATAGAAAATAACAATGAAACTTGTTTTATGTTTTACACAGCAGTGATATACTAGAAGAAATTTTGGAACATGAAAAGTCTTTCCCTCGACAAATATTGTTCTTTCAAGTATTTTTTGGAATATTTTTTTCTAAAATTGTTTTCTTTACTTGTGTCTCTAGTCAGTTTGGTTAATTTTCAGTGGGTGCAACCAAAAATAACATATTCTCAATAGAATAAATCAAGCATTGTAAATGTAATGTCTGCTGCTTCGCTATGGTTTTCAGTGAACTTCTATTTAAAATATTACAAACAAACGATAACAAACATAAGTCTGAACAACAAAAACAGTTTTTCTAGTTCAAAAAGAAATCGTCGAAAGTATTTTCTGAATAATTACTCTTCAAGTTTTGAAATGAGTACTTTTGCAACTTAAAAAGGTTCCTGCATTGTGTCAAATCACTAAGTGATATACGGTACTGAAAAAAGCAGGAATATAACTAGTCAAAATTTCTATTAATTTTTACATTTGTGAGGTAAAATTCTACCGATAAATCAAGTCTACTTTCTAATCAGATCATTTCATCTGGAACTAATATTAGGACCTACATATTTTCAATTCGATTTATCGGTCGAATCTCAGCTCAACACAGTGTCACAATTATAAAAAGTGCCTACCGTAAAATAATATCTAAGAAGATCAAAGTTACACTTGTTGTGAATCGTAGTGAAGGTAAAAATAACTAAACAAATGTACAAAAATCACATGCTTTTATCTATTTTGCATTTCTGTGATCACTCACCCATATTTTTTCACCAAGCAAATAAATCAGCAAGCACATACAGAGAAAAGACTATGACTAACCCCTTTTCTTTTCCTACACATAATCTACAATTGATGTATAAAGAAAAGAAAGAACGATTATATTGAGTCAGCTCTGTCACATGAACAAAACATGTGCAAGTAGTGGCATAGATAGTATCAGATATGATAGTTTTATTTCATGATTTTTGAGTGCATCTATGACAAAAATTCAACAACAATCCATTTTTTGACCCATCAGATGGCAAATAAATCTAAATGATTTCAAAAAAATCACCAAGATATAAATTTATTTCGATATGAATAGACAAAAAAAACGAATTATCATTTCCTCTACTGAAACGAGGGTCTTATACAGGGTGAATTATCTTCGTTCGTTCGCACAGACCGAAAACAAGTTTTTTTTGACCTCTGATATCATAGATCTTCCAACGAAACTTAACAGCCTCTACCATTGGATCAGTCTATAGTTTGTACTCATAAACCAATCAGATGTCTATTTCCTCTGGATTGCAGCCAATAAGATTTCGAGAGTTGGACTTTGGGTCAATCATAGGTTTGCACAGTCTCATCATCGAGGAATCAGATTGAGAGTGTGAAGTGTTCGCTAAGTAGACCTGTTATCTGGCTTCTAAGTAATTAAATTTGGACGACTGAAGAATTATCAAAGGAACGTTTGAAGATTTTGGACACAACTGGCAATTTATCAATGCATGGATGTTCGTTTGGTTTTTGGGATCGTCATCGCAAGTGGATTATATGTTGTATTTTTGGAAGGACTAAATCTCAGTTATAGTCGGTTGTCCGCTGGACGTACACGTTGTGGTATCTGATTTCAGACTTTTAGAATAGGACATTAGAGGTGGACGTTGAGAAGGCATATATGAAGATCCTAATACTTACTTCTTTCGGATTAGATAGTGACAGGCGATTTGGGGTTGCTGTCCTCGTTGGCATTGGTGTCTAAGACACTCATGGATGTTGAAAGCGTGAGGAGCCGAGAAATTCATAGGTGCCTGATCATGAGTAGTTCAGGTATTGACAGATTTTGCAGTTGGTGAACTAAGAAACATTGGTAAATCGTATCATTCACTGATGAATTATTTGTCATGAAAATTTGTGCACATTTATAACTTTTATTGCAAGATTTGAATAACTGTAGTTCATAGAGAGAAAAAACAGGTTGATATATCGAATGAAAAAAAATCAAACAAGTGGAGAAGAATAAATGCTTTTGATTTTGCAGATCATAACCAAGTTGAAGAATCATAGAAACTGAATTCGTCTAAGCAGTCAATGAAAAATGTTGTCGCGTTATTTGTGCAATCATATTCAGTCTCTTTAGTTCTTCTAGTTGAGCTGCTGACGGTTTTATTTGAAAACTTCTGAATTCGAAAGAACGCATGACTACTAAATCATCAAGACGTTTTACACAAGATAATGGAACATAAATTGATGCAATTTCGACTGGACCACGTAGCATGACAAGATCAATTACAGCTTTGCTCAGTGTTTGACCTAGACTTTTGTGAGTCATCATACTATAGGCGGGAATCAAGAGAAGAGCTTTTCGTTTAATCGATATTTTCGGTGTTCTTTTGGTTATTTTTGCGACTTTAGTAGTATTCTCGGAAAGAAGCTCCTTTGCATCAAATAGAACTGTTTGTTCACTAATGGGTATTAAGATGATTTGGATCGTAGTTCTACTAATTAGTTCGGAATCCAAATTGCAATTTGGAAATCCTACCAAAGCATATTTTGATTGTGTTATAAACTTCATATTTGTTGGAAAGATCTAGTCGTGAAATGGCTTATTTAATGAAGTTTTCTCATATATAAGTTGACGAAATATTCTACGTGTACTGTTGGATAGATCGAGCTCGGTAGCAATGTTGTCGATTAATAAAACTGGCATATCAGAGACAAGAGGTAAATAGCCTGGCAGATGCTCTTTTTTATTGTCAGGTAG